ATAAATTAATATATATATATATCAATTTATTTGTTTAAATGTTAATTTAAACAAATAAATCAAATATATATATTTAAACAAATAAATTAATATATATTATAATATATATAATATATATATATGTTAACATTTAAACAAATAAATTAATATATATATATATCTATTAATTTATTTAATATAAATTAATATATATATATCTATTAATTTATTTGTTTTAAATGTTATTTAAACAAATAAATTAAATATATATTTAAACAAATAAATTAATATATATTATAATATATATAATATATACATATTAACATTTAAACAAATAAATTAATATATATATATATATATATATATATATATATATATATATATATATATATATATATTTAATTAACATTTAAACGAATATATTAAAAATGTCGGATTTTAACCATTTCCTAGAGAAAGATATATATTACTTTAAACGTTATTTTTAGTGGATACCCATATTTGAGTGGACGTCCCGTTTATATTTTATTTTTTATTTTATTTTATTTTTTTAACAAGATTTTATTTTGTGTACCAATTTGAATATTCGATAAATGTTATTATAGAAAAATGCACCTGCCTGTTGTATTTTTATTAATAACTTTTCTCGGATGTTCTGTCCGGTGTCATGTTTTAAAATATTAATGAAATAAACGGGACGTCTACTCAAATATGGGCATCCACTAAAAGTAACGTTTAAATATAGAAACATATGTCGGATTAATAAATAAAATACATACACACATATATATATGGTGGACCCTCCCTTCGTATGAGGGTCAAGCAGCTCAATGGTGAACCAACCACACATTTTAAAGGGCCGAAGCTCCACAGGTTTTGAATTTAAAGTTGTTCGTCTCGTAGACCAGTTGCCATCCAAGGCTATAGAGCCCAGTCTGTCCTGCTATTTAGAAGAAGAGAATTCATACTTCAGCGAATGTAACGGATCCAAATGGAATTCGAACTCGGTTCTCTGATTCTTCAATCCGAGTCGCTATCCACTATTCCACCATCGCTCGCACTATCCGTCTATCTATCTCATTACTATATATAATTATATATATATATGTGTGTGTATGTGTATGTGAGTGTATGTATGAAGAAATATAGTCTTAAGGACTGCTATATTTATGGGATAAATTGCTCAATATCAGAGATAGAGCGTGTGTAAATATAAAAGTGAACATTGAAGTCAACACTTAGAAGTAACTGTCTGTTTCATGTTGGACACAATCGTCAGGCCACGATTGCGTCTAGCATGAAACAGGCTGTCGCTCTAAGTGTTGACTTCAATGTTCACTAATATTAATATATATATATATATATATATATATATATATATATATATATATATATATATATTATAAATATGTTTCCCTGACGATCCGTTTAGGTGAAACCTAGGTAGGTTTGTCTGACTCACTAGGTGTATCTAAATATGTATGTATGTATCTATGTATATATATTGATTGCCTTAGGGACTGTTATTCTCTCGAATCCTGAATTTGATTCTTAATCTATGGCCAAATGTTTGGGCTTTCAAATAAACTGAGATATCTGCAGATTTTCTCAGATATTGAAAAATTTGGACGAACTCTGATCTCTGACATCAGCCATGAAATTTAACACCTCGACATCGGTATTCAATATCAACAACCAATTTTCAAGCACATTTTTAATGCCGATTCATAGCACACTGTCTCAAGACGCCTGGATAGATTTCATTTGATCCAGTTTCCTGTATATCGGAATTCTCTGTCAGGCCGATCATTTAAAACATCCTGTCAACTCTCCCTTCATCTCTTCTTATTTATTTATTTATTTGATTTGATTTTCTGTAATCAGAGAGGTATAGAATGTTTGTGGGAAAAAAAAGTTCATTTCAATGTCTGAAATAAAACTTAGGAATTTCCTTTTTTAATTTCAAAATATAAAAAAAACTGCTAGTGAGGAAAAACGATAATAGTTTGTGGTTAAATACAGATTTTGACAAGCATACTGTCGAATATTTTTTGTAAACATGTCTGCCTTTTATCTTAAATATGGCGTACATTTTGAGATTCAAGACAGAACTTAAAATTATATAAATTCTTGTTTATTATTCCATACGAACCAGATGACAAAAACTGGACATAGGTTACGTTAAGCAGCTATAAATTCTAAAGATATACCTTTGCCTTTTATCTTAAATATGGTGTATATTTTGGGATTCAAAACAGAACGTAAAATTATATAACTTTTTCTTTTCTTTATATGCTGTGTCTCTGCAAGACGTAGGCGATCATGGCTCTCCACAACTTCCTGCCGACCTTAAATCTTAATAGACCTTGTCCTGCTTTTTCTCCAAAGCTCTCTTCCGCCATTCATTTATTCAAGCTTGCCAAATATGTTAGGCGTTTCTTTCCGCTGTCACGCTTGCCCTCTATCTGTCACATGTGTATCAGATTTTCCAAGCCTTCTTTCCTCATTAGGTGTCCCAGAAATATCAACTGTCTTTTCTTGATTTTAAGTGCCGGTTTCCTTTTTGTTTCCATTTCGCTGCTACAAATTCTAAAAAAAAAAAACATCTTTGTCTTTTATAGTAAATACAGTGAAAATTTTGAGATTCAAAACTGTACGTAAACTATAGGAGCTCTATAGTATGGTAGGCTAAAAATTGCATAGGCTGACTAAAAAGGACTGATACTAAAACCGGGACATCTTGTATGCATTAATTTCGACTCTTATTCGTAACAGCATGCTTTATTTCCAAGTACAACTAACATCTGACCGTTCAAAGAAAACTGTTTTATCCTGTTAGTCAAAATATCATCCACAGCAGATGTAACGTTATCATCAATGTGATACTAATTCCTAGCCCAGAGTTTTTACATGTTGGGGAACAGATGATAATCAAATCAGGAGAATAGGGTGGATGATCAACCAGTTCAAAACCAGAGCCACGCACAGCGGTCATTGAAATCAAGGGCTTGTGTACTGAAACACAGTCCTGATGAAACCCCATTCGTCAGTCTTCCTGGACCTTCGGTCATCATAACTCTTCTTAACTGCCTCAGCAAGTTGGCATAGTATTCTTCATTGATAGTGTGACACTTTTGAAAATAGTCAATAAACGCAATGTCATTTGCATCGCAAAAAACTGAGGCCATCACCTTCCTGTAGATGAAACTAATTTGGTCTTCTTTGGAGAGGGGGGAGGGGTGTTTTCTACTTTTTTTCTGAATCAAAGTGATTAACCCAACACTCATCATGGATTAGGAAACTAGCTGGATCTGCCTCGAACAATGTAGGATTTCCGTGTGATGTGATCAGCCTGGTGCGCTTTTGAGTAGGTGTCGGAAGACGTGGCACCCACCGAACACAAAATCCTTCCCCCCTGCCAAGTTCATTTTTTTCAACTCTCTCACGCGATATGCTAATATCATTGGTTATTTGATTTGTAGCCAATCGCCTGTCGTCCATCAACATGTGGTGAAAACGGTCAACGTTTTCTTCGGTGGTGACAGCTGAAGGATATCCAAACCTTGGGTCATCTTCAAGACTTTCCCTTCCCTTCCTAATGTCATCTGCCCACTTTTACACTGATGTGAAAAATATGATCCCTGTCACTGTGATACTGGTTTCCAGCCAAGTGTTCTTACATGTTGGAGAGCAGATGATAGTCAGATCAACCAGTTCAAAGCCAGAGTCATGCATAGTATTCATTGAAATCAAAGACTTGTGTGCTGAAACATTGTCCTGATGAAACCCTTTTCGTCAGTTTTCCTGTGCGTTTGGTCTTGTTAACACACGATGCCAAATTTTGTCCATTTCCAAGAGAATTCGTTATTTGTTACGTTTTCTTTGAACAATCTGATGTCAGTTTGCCTGGAAAGAAACAATACGGTTATTGATAATAATAACTAAAATTAATGCATGCAAGTTTTCACAATTCTAGTGTTGTGGCCTTGTTAGGGCCAGAAATAAAGACACAAAGAGAGGGATTGAGTTAAACAAATATATTAACAGAAACAGTAACAAAAACATATACAAACGAGAGCGTTACAGCAAGAATGTTCGGTCCGACTGTCAGAGCTGACTACTGGAAACTCCCCTCTCTAAAAGGCAATACCTGCTCCTATTTATAGCTGAGAGAGTCCGTGCGTGCGTAGGTAAATTAACATAACATCTAACATAATCCCTTCATAATTAACCGATGACGTTTTCATCCCACCTTTGTAAATTTGTCTTTTTATTCGATACGAACCGGATTAGAGAGTCTAAAAAGTCAGTGTTTATTACACCAAAACCTGTTTTTTTTTTTTTTTCATTATAGAAAATATCTTTCTTCCAAACAAAAAAATCAACTTTATCTAAGTTAGGTAGATGCTTACGCGTATAGCCTTCCGTTGTGAAAATACCTGAGGTATCGTTAACGAAAAGACACCTTGAAATCTTTTAGTGGCTTGACCCGCCTTGTGATAAGCCATATTTCATACGACCCACTGCACGAAAAAGGTTGCCCACGCCTAGTCTAGACACAGATTCTCGTCAATTTTTGTGCACCTCAAAATATCTCGATGACCAGTGCTTGCCAACTGATCTTTCCTCTCAGCTATGTCACACGGCCCAAGGTGGAAAAGACTGTCTAGTATCATTCAACACTTCTAAAACAAGACTAGTGACATTTCATCGACAGCGAGCAGATCATAAAACTGCACCTGATAAGTGGTCATGCCCACAAAAGCTACTTGCCTCAAACGTCTACTGGGTCTAAATTTCGTTTCCGTGCTCAAATGGAACGCGTATATTCATTCTGGTCTACCACAGAAAGAAATGGCAACCTACTGCGGGACACAAAATCTGCCTCGTTAGCCATCTATCGAAAGAGACATGATCGCCTAAGCGTATATCAAGCATGGCACATAACTGACTGATCTATCTATCTATCTATCTATCTATCTATCTATCTATCAATCTATCTATCTATCTATCTATCTCAGTCTCTTCAATATCTATCTATCTATCTATCTATTAGTCTCTTCAATCTTCTATCTATCTCTCCTCATCTGTCTATCTATCGTAGTCTCTTCTATCTATCTATCTATTTATCTATCTCTATCTCAGTCCTTCAATCTATCTATCTATCTCAGTCTCTTCAATATCTATCTATCTATTCTATCTATCTATCTATCTATCTATCTATCTATCTATCCTATCGTAGTCTCTTCATTCATCTATCTATCTATCTATCTATCTATCATTATCTATCTATCTATCTATCTATCTATCTATCTATCTATCTATCTATCTATCCCAGTCTCTTCACTATCTATCTGGAGGCACGGTAGAGTAATCGATAGCGCCTCGGATTGAGGAATCGGAGAGCCGCGTTCGAACTTCGGTCGAATTCATTACATTCACTTACGTGCTAATACCCTTCGGAAAGGTAGAAAACCTCTTTTTCTCTCCCGACCGTCTTCAGGACAGACCGAGATTTCCAACATATTATTAAAAATAAAAAAATTTTTCCTTATGTTCAATGTTAAATATTCTTGATATGAGACATTCTGTTTGTGTGTTGGTAACCGAATTTCTTTCTTCAATTGAATGGTCGTGTCGTAAAATTATCCTAAAAAAGCATAATATTTTTTTTAAATAAATCCACATTATCAGACCAACAAAAACGTTTGCTACCATATCTGGGCTCTTCTTTTAATATATATATATATATATATATATATATTCTATATATATATTTATATCGCGTTTAGTAGCATATTCGACGTTTTATGCCTTTTTGCCTAAGGAACGAAAAAGCGTCAGTTGACTTCATTTTTAAATTATATATAAAAATATATCTCGAAAAGTTGTTCGCTGGATATCCACCCTCCAAAAAAAAAAAAAAAAAAAAATAAACATTTTGATGACAACGAACGAATTAAAAAAAAATATGGAAGTTGAATCATTAGATTCTTTTGAGTTCCTGAAGGGTCTTCAGGTCATAATTTCCAAATTAAGTAAAAATTTAATAAGATTAAATAGGTTTACTAAATTTTTATTTTTATTTATTTTTTGGTAATACAGTGTAACCGGATATAAGAGACCAATATATAAGAGAAACCCGATATAAGAGATTTTCTCTGGTCCCAAATTAGCGGCCTGAGTTAATGTATATAAAATAGACCAAACCCGGATATAAGAGAAACCCGGATATAAGAGAGTATTTTCTCTGGTCCCAAATTAGAGCCTGTAGTTGGAGGTATATAAAAAATATCTCGAAAAAGTTGTTCGCGGATATAAGAGAAACCGGAAATAAGAAAAAAATAGAGTGGTCCCAAATTACGAGCCTGTGTTAATGTATATAAATTAGACCAAACCCTGATATTGGAGAAACCCGGATATAAGAGTAATTTCTCTGGTCCCAAATTTAGAGCCTTTTATTTTATTTATTTTTTTGAAATAGACCAAAACCGGATATAAGAGAAACCCGGATATAAGAGAGATTTTCTCTGGTCCCAAATTAGAGCCTGTGTTAATGTATATAAAATAGACCAAACCCGGATATAAGAGACTTCTTCTCCGGTCCCGACAACTCTCTTATATCCGGGTTACACTGTACAATATTTTAAATTTAAGTTAGTGTTTTAATAGGATCCTTAATTCCCTAAGTGAATAAAAAGTCATATTGGAAATTGGGTGTTTTCAATGATTTTATCCTTTTTGTGGGGGTGTCATGTCTCCGACTGTTCAGTTGCACTCTCTGCCTTCGGGCGAGGAGGAACCCGAAGGAGGCTACGCCGAAGGGCGGATTCTCTATCGGGGAGGTAAACCGACCCTGAACCCGTTTGTACGGGTTCAATGGGCATAGTTTTGGCCGAGCCCAAAGGCTCGGAGTTCCCACATTAAAAAGGCCTTGTGCCACATGACGCCCTCGTGGGGGTGGGTGACTGAATATCGTCATGTCTCCAGTCAAAGCCGGTGACGTCGAAAGAGTCTGACGCCTAAACAGCTATGCCTAATAGTCCAATTATTTTTCTGACGTCGAATCAGTCACACCAAATCAGTGATATTAAATGAACTACGGTGAAACATACCAAACCCGTCTCGACTGAGTTCAAAGGCACTTCCGCGACCTTGTGGGTGATGAATTATTCTCCACTCTAAAATTCTTATCCAACAGATGAAACTTTGTTCGTCTCTTGCTATTCTATGGCTATTTCAATGGCAGATGTTCGGGCGAGTTACACTCCTTAGACCCACCAGTTCAGACCTTCACAACTAGGACCCGTCACGTGACGTTGGCAAATCATCCCCATTTCCCTGTGTGTTCCTTTGATAAGGAGTAAGTTCCCACAATCAGTTTCTTCTCCAGAACCCTTAATTTTTGAAATATGCTCCCTAGAAGGTATTAGGTTGGTGCAAAAATAATGACGTAATAATGTCGTTTTTTTACGTATTTTTTAACGTCAAAAAACGACATTCTTACGTCATTATTTTTGCACCAACCTAATACTTTGCTGACAACTATAATCTTGGTCTCCTCATGTCCAGGGTCGACCGATATCTCTCCCATGCATCTTCATAATGTTCAAGCCCACGCGTACAACACTATGACTCAGTAATTCACTACCTTGAGTGGCCTCTGTGCCTGATACAAGATACGATGGGTAAATTGTCGCCATTTTATATATTTTATAATTTTGCGCATGCGCGTTCTTTGTTTTTGATTTTATCCACTACACAGAATAGTGGGGTCAGCTGGACAACGTCTGTGTGAAAAAGAGCACCATGACGCGATTCCCTCCGACTGAAATTTGGAAACGGCATGCTTTACTGATTGGCATTCGCACCGAACATTTCATAGATTTTGGGTGTCAATCTAAAAACAGTGCAGAGGATTCGGAAGGACTTGGATGAGTCTAATGATGATTACGAAGGTACGGCAACTCGGAAAACTCACTCTGATCGTTCTGATAAGAAAAGAACTCTCGAATTTGTTGGTGAGGGCAACTTGGGTCAAGAGTGTGGCTGCCGGAAGACACGATGTCTGGCAACATGACAGTGTTGCATGTCAGTCGAGCAAGAGAACTATGTCATGGCTCTCAGACAATTTTTGCGAACCCATCACCTCTTACATCTGGCCAACTAGCTTCCCAGACTGCAACACATTGATGATTAGGTGTGGGGCTCTGTTAAGCGAGAGACCAACAAAACTCTTAGTAACACCAAAGATGAACTGATGGCAAAGATTATGGTAGCATTCACCAACTTAAACAAAATGACCACCCAGAAGCGATCCAGGAGATTCCGAAGTCGTCTGAAGGCCATGGTTGAATCCAATAGCAATTTTCTGAAATAAATTTACTCTATAGTATTTCAAGATATATTTATGTAATTTTGGTAAATATATCTGTTAAAATGAGATGCCAGTATATATATATATATATATATATATATATATATATATATATATATATATATATATAATTTGAGATCAGGATTTATAATAGTTATAAACTGATGAAAAAAGTATCTTTATCGTGGTTCAAGATAAAAGAATTCAAAATACTAAAAAAAAAAAAAAAAAAAACAAGCTTTCATTACATTTTTCATTTCTGAGATGAGGTATTATGCAGACTATTTACATTAGTCGGACTATTTACGTCATCTTTGTCGCCATATTTATTACAATGTTTCGGCCTTTCAGTATCTTATATTTCTGAGATGAATTATTATGTACAGTATTTACATTAGTCGGACTATTGTCCTCATCTTTGTCGCCATATTTGTCACAACGTTTCGGCCGTTGTACGCTCCGGCCTTCTTCAGGTGGTTGGAATTTCGAACTGAACCCTTTATTTCGCTCACTGGGGTAGACTGTTCTAGTTCCACGTGTCATGTTTGATGGATGTCAGTTATCAGTTATCTCCTGCTAATTTTCCCTCTGAAAGTTCTCCAATGCCTTAACCAGGTATTGAACTCACCTTCTTTGGATCTAACCAACACCTTTATCCACTGTGTCCTTGAGGACATACCCATGCGTCCTTGAGGACATCTGGGTATGAACTTCTGAGTATTATAAACCTAATGTTTTCAGCATCATTTTTTACCAGTGCTGATATTGCAATTTTGCTGTTATCATTGCATGTCTTTATCAGAGTTCATATTGCAACTTAGTCATCATTGCTTTTTTTCTCTGGCACTCCTTATTACTGGTTCCCATATTGTATTCATTTCTATGCTTGGTCGGCTCAGGAGATGGCACGTGGAACTATAACAGTCTACACCAGTGAGCGAAATAAAGGGTTCAATTCGACATTCCAACCACCTGAAGGAGGCCGGAGCGCACAACGGCCGAAATGTTGTAATAAATATGGCGACAAAGATGAGGACAATAGTTCGAATAATGTAAATAGTGTACATAATACTTCATCTCAGAAATATTGCCAGATACTGAAAGGCCGAAACGTTGTGATAAATATGGCGACAAAAATGAGGACAATAGTCCGAATAATGTAAATAGTCTGCATAATACCTCATCTCAGATATATAGATATAGATATATAGAAGGCAATAGAGATTTTCACAGAAATTATGGGGAAAGATTATATTGAATTAATGGCTTCATCTCCTGCTAGGAAAGTTAGTTCACAGTACTGCATTAGATCATATTTTCCGCCAATTGTTCATTCCTTGAATTATTTTTTCTACCACTTGTCCATTCCTTGAATATTGCTGCCACATGTGATCCGGTGTTTTTTCTATGTATTTATTGATTCTTGATAAAATCCTAAGAAGAATCTGCAATGTTATTGGTCCTGAATTAGCATCTCGGCTTCAATCACTTTCCTATCGCCATAATGTATATTCCTTCTGCCTTTTCGTTAAATAATTTCATGGCAATTTTTCTCGTGAGCGTTCCTCTCTGGAAGCTAGAGTTGATGAAGTTAATCGCAGTACTAGATTGGCATTAAAGTCTCATCATTTTACAGTTGAAACGGGTTAGATATAACCGCAAGTTCTATGCAAATAGTTTCTTCTATTGCACTTCTCTCTTGTGGAACTCTGTTCCGGCTTCTTGCTTCCCATCTTCAAAAATGTTAAATACAATGTCAATCGTTATCTATTTTTATTTTCTTAATTGTTGTTTGTTTATTCTCCTCTATCCTTAATTTTTGTTTCTCATATTCTCTAAGACTCAGTACCCCCTCTTTGCGTCTTAGTAGCTTTATTGCCTTGATTGAAGTGAATTGACTAAAAAGAAGCTCAAGTCATGAGCTTATAACTGATCTTAATTATAAATTAATTTCCTTCATCGTTTTAATTGTTATGCTCATTTAACCTGCAG